AGTTATATATCAGTACTGAAGAGATGACTGTTTTAGCTTGAAAGGTTATGGCCCTAGCTATTACATTTTTTACTTTATAACTAATTGAAAATTGGTTTATAAATAATTGAAATAAGAACCAGAACCCCACTCTTTAATATGAAAAGGTATTGTCTGATTGATGCTGAGCCTTTTCATATGTCTTTATATGAGTTAGGCAAAAACTTGGATTTAACTAAGAAAATAAGAATCTCAAATAAATTAAATCAGCTTTAACCAGGTTTTGTTTTGCTTGATGTTGCCATTTTAAACTTGCTTTTTAAAGTATATTTTATAGTACTGTAAACTCTGTTAAGGCATCTGAACTATTTTATTTTGTTGGTGTGATGATTGAAAGAAACATTTACGTAAGAGAGTGCCTCTTTTTAAAGGAATGTTTTAAATAATAGAGATGTGGTGGTGTAGTGGTGAGAATGCAGTACTGGAGGCTATTTCTGCTGACTCCCAGCTGCCAGCAGTTTGGCAGTTTGATTCTCACTGGTTCAAGGTTGAGTCAGCCTTCCATCTTTCTGAGATTGGTAAAATGAGGACCCAGATTGTTGAGGACAATATGCTGACTTTGTAAACCAATTAGAGAAGGCTGTAAAATACTGTGAAGTGGTATATAAGTAAGTGCTATTGCTATTGCTAGTAAAGATTGAATTCTTCAATCAGAAATGTAGAACAAATTATGATTATCACCCTGAATTCAGCAATTTTGCATTGATTAAAAATGCATGACTAAGTGGATGCATCTTCTTGTATCTTATGCGTCTATGCTGATTCAGATAATATTCTTGAATAAATTCTGAATGCGTAGATAGCTCTATTTGAATTTAAATATTGGAAGTTCTGCTAACGATTTGTGTCTTTTTTTTCCCTTCAAAGGATAACCTACAAACTCTTGGAACTGAAATAGAACGATTAATTAAGCAACAACATGAATTAGAACAGAGGCTGAAGCAGACATAACTGAGACCAAGATCAGAAAAATAGATATTTCAGCTTTGATGATTATATAAAATCGGATGGCCAGATATGACAGTCCAATGAAGTCTTAACAAAATAAAGTTGATTGTGAACAACTTTGACTAGATCCGAACGTCTGGTTTGCTTAAACAAATGGAGACCTTGAACTTTTCTGAACATACTTCCATCCATCACTAAATTAGTCATATCAACACTTGCAGCTTCTTCTTGTTAGAGAGAATGCAACCACTCTGCTTTGTGCAATTAAAAGAGCAACTTTAAAAAATGGACTACTATATAAGACTGGTGCATTTGTTGTCAATATTTGTTTTGCAGAACAAAGAGGAGGAGGAAAAGGGGTGGCTGTTGCATGTATATTAACCCCAGTGCCTTCTAGGGCATACATCTTTTTCGCCAAATATAGATGCGTTCTTGGATATATTTAGATTTGTTATTTATAACATGCATTGGGAAAGGGCTTCATAGTACACATTCTTTTAATATACAGTTGAAAGATATGACAGGTATTTTAGCAACTTGACCAAAAACATTTCTTAAAATCCCTCATCCTCAAATGTGAATAATATCCTTTTTCTTTAAAGAAAAATCCCTCTTAAAAAAAAAAAGATTGTGAAAACTCTATATAGAGTATAGACATAAGAGGTTAAAACCGGTTCTGTATATATGGGAAAACAAAATATAGAGTCATGAAGCCTTCAAATCTTGCAGATTGGCTGTGTTGATTGAAATGAAAATAATAGACACTGTGATGACTACACATAAGCACAGGTGACATTACATATATCTGTTCAAGTGACTGATAAGATCCCATATTGGTTGGGAAAAAAAAGGGAATATGCCCAGATATTTAAGATACTGATATCGCCTCCTTAACTATTTAACAATAGTTGTATTGTTAATGTATACAATTATTGTATAACAATAATTATACAAATAAGGACAATTCTTTATGTCTGCCATCATTATCATCTATGTAGCTTCAGTTGGAATAACAACTATTCCTAGTGACCATGCTGGCTGCTTCCTCTGTACAGTTTTTTAAAAAGTTACATTTATATTCTGCCTGTCTACCCAGTTTTGTGTAGCACCCAAGGCAATTCATCCTGGCACACTTGGAAGAAGATTGCAAGTGGGCTGCCACGGGAGAATAAGGAGACAAGAAATAAGGGAGCATGGCTTAAACCTGGAGAGGAGAGCAACTATTGCAGTACTAAGTGTGAAGCATTAAATAAAGTTAAGGCTATGAATAATGTTGTTGTTAGAGAGAATCAAGGGTGTTGTGATGATAAAAACATCGTTTATGCCTCTCTCACAACCTGGGGTCCTCCATGCATTTGGTTAAGAATAAGTGGAATCGTAATGAATGACGATTGCATTAATCTTGGAGAAGAGAAAGTGAGGGAGAACCGATGCAAGCTCTAAATACACTTTTTAAAAATTGCTTTGACAAACACTAGCATGTGTGTATCTATGCTTCCAAGATGAGATACTCAAATACCCTTTTGTTCTTTCTCGGGGGCCAAAGGGAAGCAATAGATTTTTAGGTATGTTAGGCAAATACTTAGCCTTCCTCTGTTTAATCGCTGCTGCACTTTCAGGAAGACAGCACTTTAAATGAATCCATTGTCCAAACATTTCCCCCCCTTTTGCTTGGTTAAAAATAGTTGCTGTCCAAAAATGTACCATTGCGGAACATCTGAATCTTGTATAATGGTTTTTTTTCAAGCAAGGTAATCAGAAAATTTTCATTTCATCAATAAAATCATCTTTCCTGTGATCACTTCTATTCTATTCGCCCTTGCCTGGTATATGAGAGGGAGGCAGCAACAGTTTCCAGTTGCAGTGTTCCTTGTGATTGTTTTATTACACAGTACAAAACTCATTTAGCACTGTTTACATAGTTGCATGTGATGGTTCCATTCCTCTTCAAGTACGGAGATTTTAAGAGGTGCTTTGGGGACAACAACAACATCTGAGGTTAAACAAATCCCCTTGTATAAATGTGTACATAGTGCTAGAGTTTGTATTTTTCTAAAAGTTGTTGCTTTTCATATTTTTCCGAAAAAACAACACATGTATAGCTGCAATATTACAACAAGCAAACATGCTTGCTTTCTGATTCATAATGTTAAATTGTACATTGCATCTTTAGGGTTGTGGATATTGATGTACAGAATAATGTTTAGGTTACAATACTGTGTTTACTTGCTGAGGGAAGAATACCTGATCAATGCAACTGGACTTATTGCTGGATATTTTTCTGCATACTGTTTTCCTTCATGTTTAACAAATTAGGTCTGAAATAATAAAAATGAATGCCCTACTTAATCAAACAATATTTGATTAGGACTGAAATTTAAGCAGCACTTGCATGTTAAAGTATTTGTGGAAGAGTTTCTCACATGTGTATGACAACTATATTAATTTTCAGACTAATATATTGTTGACCTTCAAAACTTTAGCCTGTGAACTAGGTCCCTGTTTGTAATTATACTGTAGAATGTTTAAACTGCATTCAAGCAATCATTTTTCTTGAATAATATAGAAGTTTGAAGCTGATAAATCTTGTCTGAGTACAGAAAATATTACATTGTGTGATGCAAAATGTATTGCAGTAACGGTCAATCCAAAGAAATCAGCTTTTCTAAAAACACAGTTAGAAATAAGCCTGGCATATCCTCAGCATGAGCAAGGTTGTCTTCTAAATGTTTGAAACATCCAAGTTGCATCAAACCATTGATGTCTTGGCTTAATAAGCCTTGGTGTTTGTACACTCCAGACTCACCTAATCCATTCCAAAATATGTATCAAATAACCTTTTGGTCAGCACCGTCATAAGCCAAAAAATATACAAGTAAGTTGAAGGCAGGGATTTTTTTTCCTTAAAGTTATTGCCAGGCTTTCTTTACCGTTTCATAATTTCCTTTGGCTTTCTTTCCCATCTCTTTTCCCCAAAAACTTGCTGTCTTCCAGTTTCCAGGTTAGGGGAAAACATTGGCAACTATGTTCTTGAGAGTTTATTTTGAAGACATTTATAGGATCATGAAATCAAATCAGTCTGACACTTTAGAAGCCTCATTGATTTTATCATCAGAAATGACCCACCTCCTTCAAACATATCTTTGCTAGACGAAGAGCAAGATACTTGACTGGGGAGGTTTAAGGGAAAAAAAGTTTCTGAATGTTGAATGCTACAATGACCTATTTTTTTGAATGAATATTTGCTTTCAATAGTGAACAAGCGTCAAGTTTGAATCCATGCTAGTACACTAAAACCAAAGTCCCCCTTGAATGAAGCTGATTTTTTGTGATTTTTATAGACATGTTTTATTGCAATAATGTGAATTTGTTATTACTTCTTAGTAGGATTTTTAAAATGTGTTAATTTTTCATTCTAGATTAGATTGTCTGAGTAATTTTCAAACTTTCCTCTTTTCCCATTTTTTCTTCCTGACTCATTCATTATGCTTTCCTGGTTGTAGCATCCAGTAGTATCTATCATACAACTTTTCCTCATAAAAGAGTTTAAAAAAGAACACTAATGAAGAGCAAGTTTTTTGACATTAATAGATTAAACTCTTCAACTTAGCTATTGTTTGGTTTCAAAGGTTGCTGCATGGATCATATTTAAGTATCCTAAATATAAAGAAGAATATAAAGAAAGCCACTTTAGTTTACTTACTTAATACTGCTAATAAACAGCATTCACAAGTTGTTTGTCTAAGCCATGTATTAGCTGTTTATTGCTCATACTGCAATGAATGATCTAAAAACTAAGTATCATGGGACATTGTTCTTGGAGGGGAGACAATAAGGAAATACTATTCTACGCTGGTCTATGGATTCAACTCACTGTTTTGCTTGGTTCACAATATATTTCACAAATAGCAATTAATATTATTTATTCCTCAGAACTCACATCTTTGGTTATGTGATTTTAAGAGGTATATTTCCTGACAAAAGGATTATGTGCTAAACTTGTGTTTCTCAACTTTACCAAGTTTAAGATACATGGACTTCAACTTCAGGAATTCCCAAGCCAGCTGATGGAATTCTGGGAGTTGAAGTCTAAATGTTTTAAACAGGTGATTTTGAAAAACAGAGTTGTGAGCAAATTGATGTGTGTTAAACAAGTTTACATATTTTTTTTGCTATCCAGAAAGGGGAAACTACTTGAGCTGTGAAGAACGATAGAACAATCTCTTTATTATTTTGCAAAATATCTAGGCTAGATTCCTAGATTCTACTAGAAACTGATTCCTAGAGATCAGTAATAAACTTGAAAGGAAAAAAGATTGTATCATCAATTTGGCTTTGAAGATTTTGTTTTGTTAAGGGAGAAAAGAATGAAATACCATACAGTAGAACAAGCAGCGATGTTCATCTCAAATGTAAACTGATACCCAGATATAAATCGTCTTAGAAACTAAATCAATTATCTGAGAAAATATGTTTTTGAAAAGAAAGACTATTAACAAATTTGGATTAAATGTCTTGCTTCTTTTATGTTTTCAATTCCAGTTACATTTTCTTTACCATCCAGAAAATCCCATCTTGTTCATTAAAAGTGAACTCACATTTGAAAGCTTTGCTTTCACACTATTCTTGCCTGACCTTGAGTGTCAATGCCTGAAAGTTACAATTGGCATAAAAGACTTTCAGAACTTGGCTTCTGTAATTTCTGGTTTACATGCTACGAGAAGTTGCAATGTTCTGGAACTTTTTTCTTTAAACTGCCACTTGCATGAAGACTGAAGAAAGGCAGGAACAAACGTGGAACATGTCTGAACCTAACTTGTTTTTTTAAAGTCAGTATTAAATTGCACACACTTGTCAGAAATTCTTGTCAATTCTTAACAGCAAGTTATTAGTAAAAAAAAACACAGACCTTGTCCTTTCTTAGAGATACAGTGACTGACATCTGAGGGGGCTTGCCTTCCAAAGTGTCAAATAATGCCATAGGTGCTACTTATCCTGAGAATGAAGACTTGTATTTACCTGTTGGTGCGTAGCCTGAGGGATCTGAAGAATGCAAAAATCTGATTCACATGATGACACAGCATTTAGTTTCATATTTGAACTTAATGGAAGTTGAGTTGATAGCACTGGAAAATACCGTGTTAATGTAGGAAGATAGTTTAACTTTGATGTTAAGTACCACTGCGATTAAGACATTCCTGCAAGTACTCACTTGATGTTGCTAGTACTAGCCATGATAGTTATTGTTCCTCTTATCAACAACTTTCATCCATAAGCAAGATGCACAAAAAACAAATAAATGAAGTGCCCTCTAAATTTAGGAGTCCTCTAAATTGCTTTCTTTTGTCTTCAGAATGACTACTACAGGATAATTGGCTTCCTTGGGAAAAAAATGCTCTGTTTTTAGTAAAAACAACTTTCTTGAAAATTCATTCCCAAGTCAAAATTATGCAAATACTATGAAGTTGGTGTTTAATGATTAGCACAAAAAACATCTTCTGAATTAGAAGTCACACCCTGCTAGTAATATATACTAACAATAGATCTGTTAGTTTTTAAAACAAACATAAAGAGTTTTCTCTTTGCTGTGTATGATGCAGTTCTGTTTAATAATACACATAATTCTGTGTTACTTATATTTTAGTCCTAATGCTTTAAAATGAAAAATAGCCCATTATGAATAACAGTAGGTGGTGCTAAAAATCCCTGCATATCTTCTTACAAAAAAAGGGAACATTTTTGCCATACCTGACAATCACTGCTTTTTTTCCACACTGGAAGGATTTTACTTATCTAGTTGGTGTGCTGATAGTGGAGCTATGTCTAAATCCATTTGCATTTCTTTGTCTGTGTATGTGTATATCTAAACACACACATACTTACATATAGTTGTGTGTGTGTGTATGTGTGTGCGTGTGTGTGTGTGTCTGTATGAAAGAGGATGGCTTGATTTAAAAATATTTTGTAGATATTCATGTATAAAAAGATTCTCTACTTCCTTCTAAAAAGTAGTGATATATTATGTGTATCTTGGGTTTGAAATAATAAATATGAACAAATATGCAGTAGTTTAAGATATAACAAAGCTGCAAGACAATTGACTTTTTGACTTAGCAAACAAGATGCAAACACATCACTACTGATGTCTATTCCAAGGTGTACTGTCAAAAGCAGTGAACACAGCAATTCTATTTCTAATACTGCAGCTGCAGCTTCTCAGTTTATATCTTACCACCTTGTGGCGGGTGAAAGTGGGAGGGTTGAGCAAAAGCAGGAGGTAGGCAACAATAAATTAAGATAGCCAGTAGAGTATAAATTTTGAGGTTAATTTTATATATTAATTCCCTGTATTGGTGAGTATAGTAACTGGGGGTAGAAACCTAATGTTTTTATCACAGCATCTTCTATGACCGTATTATGATACTTTATGCTTCACAACAAAAACTTCTGAGCAAGTAAAATTCTTACCTCTTTTTATCCTTGGGAAAAAAATGTGCAATTAGCTAGGTTGAGAATCCTGCGCAAAGCCAGTTTGTAGAAAAGCCCCTTTTCCTAGAGTACTTGAAAGCCTCCAAGAGTGATGGTTGGTGAATATGTTAATAAGGCAGGAACAAATAGAGCAATGCCACAACGGCATTTTAAGAGCACACTGGGACTAAACAATTCTGTTCCTATGAGGCTCACAATGGTTTTTCCTCCTCAAATCCTACTTCCTCAAAGCTACCCAATGTGTCTGGGAAAGATGGCTTGCCTTGGCAGGTGGTGGAAGTAAAAAAAATATATTGTTTTTTATGTAGGTTCCTGGTATTGTTTATATTTAATCTCTCAGAGGATCAAGTCTCATTTTTTTTAGTGAGAATGGATGGCCACCGAATATGTGTTATTATAAAACTACACATTTTACCTGTTTTACAAATGATGATTTGTGATCTTCTTAAGATAATATTTAAAATGAGAATTTATTTATTTCAATAAATAAGAAAGCAAATCCCACTCCATTCTGAGACAGAAGGTGTCACCTGGATGGATAACAAACATCTGCAAGCAAGCAACCATGGTCAGAAACCACCTTTATTCAAAATTACTACCTGCCTGTCTCCAAGGGACAGCCTGCAAAACTGGAAAATTCATCAAAACAGATAAAACATACCGCCTTGAAGTCTGAACAGAGTAACAAAACTTTTCTGAAATTCTTTTAGATTTACTCTTCAGTTGGGATGGAATATTGTCCAGATTCCCAGGAGGGAGGTAGAAAGAGCATTGCAGGAGAGCCATAGACATTATAGTTCAGATAATTTTTGTTATCTGAACAAAATGATTTTTTGAAAGGATATTAATTTCCTTGTTTTATTTTTCTACAAATGTTATTTCTCAGAATTGTTTTTCTCCAACTGTGAATGCCACTGTTGCATGTTGCAGAATATATCTTTTTTTTCCTATAGCACTTACCTCTTAAAGAAAGAAGGTGAAGTTAATAACGGAATAACAGGACCTTGGAGGTCTTCTAGTCCAACCCCCTGTTCAGGCAGCAAACCCTATACCCGTGATGGAAAACCTATGTCATGCATGCCAGAGATGGCACAGAGACCTCTGTGCTGGCATGCGCACTGTTGCCCCAGGTCAGATCCCTGTGGCATTTCTTTCATAAGCTTCTGTTTCCCTGCAAACAACGAAACAGAAACCCCATGAAAGAAAAAGATCTTACCTCTTGCTGTGCTGCTGGTGTTGGGATGCCCAGCCTCCTGCTGGCCAACTGGTCTTTGGGTCTCTCGTGTGCCTGCGCGCACATTCATGCATGTCTGCATGCGTGCATGTTCATGCATGCACATGTTTGTGCATGTCCACGTGTTCATGTGTTTGCACACCTTTTTCTTTGGGCATGCACACATGCAGTTTGGGCACTGGGTGTCTAAAATTTTCGCCATCGCTGTCCTATACCATGTCAGACAAATGGTTGCCCAATCTTTTCTTAAAAACCTCCAGTGTTGGCGCACCCACAACTTCTGGAGGCAAGCTGTTCCACTGATTAATTGTTCTAACTGGAAACTAAGGAATTTTTTCCTTAGTTCTAAGTTGGATCTCTCCTTGAGTAGTTTCCATCCCTTGCTTCTTATCCTGCCCTCAGGTGCTTTGGAGCTTGTTTCGCTCTTCTTTGTGGCAGCCCCTTAGATATTGGAACATTGCTATCATGACACCACCTAGTCTTTCTTTTAATTAAACTAGACCAAATTCATTAGACCTAATTCCAGCAACCATTCTTCATATGTTTTAACTTCTAGTCCTAATCATCTTCACTGTTTTTCTCTGCATTCTTTCTAGAATATTTACTATATGTAACGTTTACATATAGAGTTAGGATCAATAGCTATTTTCTGAGATTCCAAGCATGTTCTAATGGCTTCATGGATTTTAAAAGAAAAGCCAAACATAATATGCATTTTCCATTTCCAAACACATGGAATCAGAAATTCAGCTTCTTATAATTAAAGTTCAGGAAATAATTTACCTATTTCCTTTTTTTAAAAAAATTTAACCAGAAGAGCAATAGTTAGGGTTGTATTTCCTAGCAGAAGTAGCTTAGGAAACACAGGCACTTTGTACATTTTTGGAACCTTTACAGGAGACACTCTGTGTACATTGTGATAAAAATCTGCATATCTTGATAACCAAAGATTGCAAAAGAAAAATAAAAAAATCTGATGATAGGGAAATGCAGTCTTAACTTTTGCACTCGAAATTTTGCTGTTACTGCTGCATGTTGGTCATCAATTTACTATAAAAGTAATTTAAGTGACATTTTGGATCTAGTTCATTTCTAAATCTAGTTGGTTTCAGAGGACAGTTTTCCAATAATTGATTTGGCATTGAAGGAACATAAAATTTGCAATCAAGAAGACACATTGAAATATGGATGAATTTATAACCCGAGTTATTTCCAGTTCTGTTAACCTCCACTTAACAATTGGTTCTGTTTATTGGATTGGATTGGAGCCTTCTGTTGTGGAATCAGTTAACAGTAAAACCAAAATAAAACAGAAGGCAGATAATACTAACAACCACATACTGAAAAACGATTGTAACAACTTTACAAAACAAAATACAATTTATTGATGAAATTACTTCTGAGTAATATGGTCAAGATAAAAAAACCATGTTTGTCTTGCTGAAACATTTATTGTCCCTATAAGAACAGAAACAGCATAAGGGAAGCAGCCCAAGAATCAGAGATAGGAAAGATGCTATAACAAAGGTAGCTGCACTGAAACCTTATATGAGTGTCTGTTTGCCCGTGACTCCAGCAGAGGTGGTATTCAGCAGGTTCTGACCAGTTCTGGAGAACTTGTAACATAAATTTTTAGTAGTTCAGAGAACTGGTAAATACCACTTCTGACTTTATTTTCTGCTTCCTGAGTCCCAGCTGATCGGGAGGAAATGGGGATTTTGCAGTAACCTTCCCCTGGAGTGGGAAGGGAATGGAGATTTTACAGTTTCCTTCCCTTGCCACGTCCATCAAGCCATGCCCACCAAGCCACGCCATGCCCACCAAGCCACGCCCACAGAACTGGTAGTAAAAAAAATTGAATCCTACCACTCGACTCCAGGATATGATATATATAAAAAAAGTCAGGATAGTGGTCACAGTAATGCTATCAAACCTTTTGCAACATATGTAAAAAACAGATAAGGCTTTAATCAAGGCTGCCATCTCGACATTTTGAAGAAGTGGATGCGGAAGACCTTGCTTGGAAAATACCAGAATAAATCTTGCCTCTACTCCTGAAGATGTTGTTGATGGCATGGATACAATTCAAAAACTTACCCAGATATCCCAGGCATTCAGAAATCAACCTATTTGACAGCTCCAGAGCGGGTCTAACAAAACACATACTCATTGGGTTGCATGATATTCCAAGAGATTAGTTCACCACTAAATATGATGCAAATATGTACTCTGTGATAAACAACCTATTTTACCCTTTTTGGGCGGGGGGGGGGTGTAAAGAGAGAGATAAACCAACTGCTACTCCAAAAAGAATATACTCCAAAGATTGACAACAATCAAAAGCACTCTTGTTACATGAACTTCTGTAAGCATGGATCTCTTCAGAAGATTTCTATAAATCATAAGTTCATAAACGGGCAAATTTACATTTGTCAGATAGCTATGCCTGAGCTATTTTGGACTTGCTTTGAGCTGAGTCCAGAAAATAACAGGTAATGTAGTGTTTTCAAAATAGTATATTATTTTGATTCATCGATTAGCAGACCAGCTGCTGGGTTTGGAGTACAGCTGAAGAACAGAAGAACTGGCATCTGCTGAGTGTACTCATTCAAGACAGCTTACATTCAAAAGTCTTCTCCTTGGAAGCATTGAAACAAAGCCATTGGCATCTATAAGGGTTGGGGGGGGAGTCAAATCTGAAAGATGGTAGGTGCAATGTCACAAAAGAAAGCCTGCCATTTTTGTAGGAGGAATTGATGGGGTGAAGCTTTTTTACTTTGAAATCACTGTCCTGTAGATTTTGACCTCCCTATAGATTCATCTGAATAAAGCCCTACCTACACTATAAAGCTATAACATTTTGATCTCCGTGTAACTGTCATGGTTTTTCCCCTCCAAAATTGCTGGGAGATTTGACCAAAAAGGAATTCTTTATTAATAACTTGTGATTTGTGCTGTAAAACTTTGTTCTTAGGCTATAAAATTACTATTTATTACTTTGTTTCCCTGACTGACTAAACCCTAAAGAAATAAGAAATTAATTGCTATTAACGGCAATTGGTACAGCCATAGATAATTTCCTTGCCCATTGAACTAGGAGAGAAGCTTATCTCCACAGGTTTTCAAGTCTAACAATAGCAATAGCAATAGCAATAGCAGTAGACNTATTGTATTGTATTCTATTCTAAATGGCAAAGTAGGAGATGTTGGCTTAGATGTTGTTGTGTCACCAATCCCCTTTTGCAATCTTCTGACAAGCAAAGTCAGTGGGGAAGCCAGATTCACCTGTCAGCCCTGGGACTAACATAACAACTCCAGTGATTCATTTAACAACCGTAGCAAGAAAGGCCATGAGACGGGGCAAAATTAGCAGCAGAAATCTTGGGCACACTTGTGGTCATAAGTCAAGGACTCCCTGTCCTGGAAGGCGAGCCACCCCTCGCCTGCTCTGCTTCTCATTCCTCTGTCCTTTGTCCTCTTTCAGCTTCAGGCATGGCATTGCTGTCCACCGTCCACCTGGGCCTTCCCCCTCCCGGCCGCCCGCATCGCTTGGCCCTCGTCTCCGGGCCCTACCACTACCACCACTACGGCTGCGACGGGGTGGACGACCGGGGGTGGGGATGCGGCTACCGTACCCTCCAGACGATGTGCTCCTGGCTGTTGGCCGCCGGGGGAGAAGGAAGAGCCGCCCGCCGCCCGGTTCCGTCCCTGAAGGAGATCCAGGACTCCCTGGTGAAGATGGGCGACAAGCCTCCCTCGTTCTCGGGCTCGCGGGACTGGATCGGCACCGTGGAAGCCGCGCTCTGCATGGATTGTTTTTACGAGGTGCCGGGGAAACTGCTCCACATCCGCCTCGGAAAAGATCTGGAAGGGGAGCTGGAGACGTTGTATGCCCACTTTCAGGGGGGCGGGGGCCCCGTGATGATGGGGGGAGGCCGGGACCATTCCTCCAAGGGGCTGCTGGGGGTCTGCTCTGGCCCCGAGGGGCACCACCTGCTCGTCCTGGATCCACACTTCTACGGCACGGCAGGCTCGCTCAGCCGGCAGGAAGCCCAGGGGAAGGGTTGGGTTTCCTGGCGGGCGCTCGGCTCCTTTGAGGAGACCTCCTTCTACAACCTGTGTTTGCCCCAGTTCTGGGCCAGGCGCCCCCCCGTGTGAAAGAGGCGTCCCCATGGAAGACGAGGGGAACCCTTCATGCCCGGCGCTTCGAGCCACTTCCCGGGGACGGGCTGTGGATGGGCGTCCCATGCTGGGGGCCTCGACACGGGAGGAAAGGCCCGAACGGCAACTCCGGCATCAACCAGGACGGGCTCCAGCTCCTCCGGGTGGCTTCCCTGCCTACACCCAGCAGCTTCAAGACCGATAAAGACAGCCACCTTCTGGAGCGGCTGCTAAGTCTGCGTGGCTTCCTGTTGCCTTCCCTCTCTAGCCAGAACACCAAACCCACCCCGTTAAAGATCAGAGGACTAAACTGGGTTTCTTTTAACCTGACCGGGATTTGAGGAGAGTCCGTGCTGTGTGGCTGGTTTGGTTACTTGGTGCTTTCGTTGCTTTTAAGTGCGGGAGCTGCCCTCCCAGGTGGCCTCTCCCGAGAGAAGCTTCCTTTTGGCTAAAGCAAAACTTGGGCCGTTTTAAGGCTTGTGGGCTTCAACTCCCAGAATTCCCCAGCCGGGNGAGGAGAAGGAGGAGAAAGAGAAAGAGAAGAAGGAGGAGAAGGGGAAGGAGAACTCCATTCAATTGTATCCAATTCTTGATGATTCTATGAACCAGTCCTCTTCACATTTTGCAGATTCTTTCTCTTGCTTTTCCCTCTGAACGTTGTCGGCTTTGATAGTGTCTAATCGTAATTTTTGGTGGCCTCATTTCCTTTTACCATTGACCATTCTGAGCATAACTGCCTTTGAGTTTGATTGCATGACATGACTGAAATAAGTAAGGTGGAACTTTATGATTTTTGCCTTCCAGCGATCTGTTCTGGTTTTATGCCACTCCAATACTTTTCAGTAGTCTGTCTTTAGCTTAATGGCTCCTCAACTATAAGGGCCCCCCCTTAGCTTATTTCCTCCTCTATTCAAGCAAAACCATGGATGATCACCTAGTAATCAAAGCTTGCATTGTAAACCCTTGCTGTTATACAAGGGAGATTAAGAACAGCCAATAGTTCTGTCCATTTACTCCTAGACCAAGGTATTTTCTCCAGATTCATCTTATATTTCTGTCCATCCCAAATGAAGGAGAGATGCAAGAGAAGAGAATTACACATAGAATTGCAATTTTGGCTGATTGTCACAAGAATATGTCTTTTCTGGTCTACAAATTTGAACAGGAAGGATTATTTTTTTACCACTCTTCTAACTCATTTTAATTTTTTTTTAATTCCTTGAATTGTCACCCATTGCTTGTTGCTATATTACACGGAATTGGGCATCCCTTGCTTTTATTAAACTAATCCTTGGGCGAATGGAAGATGTAGCATTTGGCAGCTACCCTTTGCTGAACAAAACTCATCTTTTTTTTCCTGAATCAACTTTATAATGTTAATAGATTAACAGAGTTGGAAGGTACCTTGCAGGTCATCTAGTCCAACCCTCTGCCCAAGCTGGAGGCACTACATCTGTCTCTACCTAGGATTGAACTCACAACTTCCTGATTGTGAGGCGAGAGCTCCACCTCTAGGCCACAGCAGCAGGTTAGTTTTCATAATCCCATCAGAAAGCATTAGGCTCTCTCTGTTACTCTGCCACAGAGGTGGGTTCCTACCAGTTCGCACCTATTCGGTAGNCCACTGGTGGAACCTCTTCTAACCGGTTCGGTAGATTTGACGAACCGGTTCTACCGAATAGGTGCGAACTGGTAGGAACCCACCTCTGATTTGTGAACCAGTAGGGAAGGCAAGTGAATACCACCCCTAATATAGATGATACATACCATTAGACTGGAAGACAGATAGATATTGTCCTTCAATGAAATTGTTCATCTAGTGCCAATTCTTTTCTTCTCTATCTTTACTGTCTCTCATAACATATTCTAATATTCAACTTTATTTATTTAAAGGCAATTATTTTCCACAGTACAAGGTTTTATTTTTATTTTTATTTTACTTAATCCCCAGTCGTTTATTTATCCCTCCAGCAAATTGGTTATTATTTTAGCAGTGGAAATAATTGTAAGCAATCAAGTTGCATGCATTTAATGTGTTTTTCTTTTCTTTTTCCTGGTTGTATCCTTGTCATTTTTAAAAAACTATATTTTTATTAAGTATTTTGTGGAAATAATTAGGAAGAAAGAAAAAAGAAAGAGGAGAAAAATTAAAGAAACCTGAAACTAAGTGAATGAACAGTGAATTCATAAGCATCACAGAGTTGCATTAAAACTTTCAATATTTCATTAATTAATTTTAACCAACTGAATATATTATATCTTTTGGAAAACTACAGGGCATCATTAAAATCCAAGCACTATATAAATATCAACAGCACCAATCATAAACGTGGTAGAAATAATAAAATAAGATTAAAAGCTGACCAGAGTCTCTTGTTAGTGAAAAGGATGCCATACAAATTTTAATATAATAGATCAATAAATAAAACAGACATGGAATTTGTTGCAAACCCATTGAAGACAGCATTTTTACAGGTGCAATATTAGTGCTAGAGCATTTCTTTACTATTTTTACAACAAGTGTAGTTATGTTGTGGCTTGCCAGCAGTCAGTGGAGCTGGCAGCAGATTCAGACAGTGAGGAGGTTGGGGAGGAAGATGGGCCAGTCCTGGAGTCTGGGGAAGGCTCTGATGAGGGCTCTGTGTTGGAGGCAGAGAAGGGGCCAGAGCCATATGCCAGCCATCAGTTGCCTTCAGAGTCAGACATAAGTGAGGCAGACAAACAGCTGGAGCCTGTTCCCATTGTACACATGCAAAGGGAACAACTAAAGAACAGGGATCGACTTGGGAGTAAGGCCAGATGATGAATGGCCGCCCTCCCAGAGGCATTAAAAGAGGAGCAAAAGGGGAGTGGAGTTTGCAGGAGACAA